GGAGGTATGGCCCTCGAGCACGCTGCGGCACGACCCTGTAGCCGCCTCCCACACCCGCACCGTGTTGTCGTCCGAGGCGGACGCGACCAGCTGGCCGTCTGGCGAGAAGGCGACGGCGCTGACCCAGGAGGTATGGCCCTCGAGCACGCTGCGGCACGACCCCGTGGCCGCCTCCCACACCCGCACCGTCTTGTCGCTCGAGGCGGACGCGACCAGCTGGCCGTCTGGTGAGAAGGCGACGGCGCTGACGCAGTCGGTATGGCCCTCGAGCACGCTGCGGCAAGCATCCCAGTCGTCCTCCCGTTTTGACAATAACTTAATCCACCCTGGCATTTCGTCTACAAAAGCCTTCCGTACTATACTTGCTTCTGGGGTAAATACAAGAGCTAAGGAATATATTTGTAGAGGAGCATCTTAGAGTATATGTCGAAATCGAAGAGTAAATTGTTAAGCGTCTTGGAGAAGTGCAGAAAGAGCATTGTTTAATGCCTGTATTGCATATTAGCGAAATAATACAGTGCTAGAAAAAAGTAGAAGCCTTACCTCAACTAGCGTAGAAAGTGTTGCTAGCAAGGAAACACATTTATTCGTCTCTCCGATTAGACTTATCGCTTCGAGCCAGTAAAGGAAGTGTTTTTGGAGGAATATATCTGCAGTGGCCTTGTCGCTAACAAGACGCTGGCTTTGCTTGAGGTGATACACCTAGTAGCGGCAAGCGTACTGCAATTCTGGCGACAGATAGCTCTTAATTATTCCTTTATCAACCTTACTTCTCAGAGTCCCAGGCTCTAGGTCGCAAATATTCTGTTATAGGCCGTTTGGCTCAGCCATAAGTTAAAGGCAATAGGACGCTAGCTCCTCGTGTCTTGCTCTTTCGTCCACCCAAAACAGGCTCTTCTAATTCGACATATTAACCAGGAACTCGTGGAACAACAAGTGCAGGGGGCGTACGGGCGCATTATCGCGGTCTGGTATATTTAGAATAGAGTATAGAAAGTCTAATCGATAGTTAATATTATTCTTAGCCTTTCCTAAAAGGTGCGCAAGTAAAGTAATAGAGAAAGGACTTTCTAAAACTATAATACTCCTAACTATATTTTAGAACTTTCTAGAAAGCTTTATTTTCTCCTTTTTATCTTAAGTTATAAAGAGTAACTCTAGAATAGAAAGGTATATTATACTAAGCTTACTTATATCTTCTATTTTATAGCTAAGGATGTTCTTTAGACGCCTTCTAGGATTTCTAGTAAGTTTTTCTATAAAATAATAAACTATAGCTGTAAAAATAAACAGAAGCACTACTATATTTACTAGTGTCTAGATATGCTTTTTTCCAGGCCATTCTAATAAAAGAGAGCGCTTTTTTCTTATCCTAGTAAGCTCGGTCTCGATATAAACGCGTATATTATATTAAATTATTTACTTTACAACTTTATACAGAATAATATCTTTAAATATACTGTTAGGCAATTATTTAAATCCCAGGCGGATATGCAGTTCTAGTCGGCTTATTATAAAAACCCGCAATAATACCACTTTAAAATCCCTTATTCGCGAAAGAAGCTAGAGAATTACTTATATATTACTATCTCGCTCGCATTTATTTAACGCGTTTATTATAATAAGTAGTACTAAGGCTAGTAAATACGCCACTTCTAAAAGTAGATAGAGGATTAGCTTCTTAAATTAATCCTTTAGAGCCTTCTTAGATATAGCTGGATTAGCTTTAATCGCCTTTTTAATTCTAGGTCCTAACCCTAATATATAATAAGCCAGCTGTATAGTAATAGTAGTAAAGAATTAAGTAGTATTCCTGCGCTCCCCCTCGCCTTATTTAAAGAAGAAGCTGGCTCCTAGTTATTAGTAGTTGGCAAAGGTCCGGGCAACTGTATAAGTAATTATAGACTTTCCTGTTCCTGCCGCGCTGTTTAGCCAAAATATTAGTTTGCTGTTTTTATTATTTGCCTAGTAGTATATATAACGCAGCAACTTAATACAGGTGTTTAGAAGGTATATTAAATTATATTCTTCTATATAAAAGTTAAAGGAAGCGCCTTTAGTAGTAGGTAATAACAGCGTATTAGTTTTCTAGTTAACGCGAAGAATAAGGGCCCTGGAATATTTTTTATTAGCCTATACTTACCTTTAAAAGTATACTACTTACGTCTAATTAACTTAAAGTATAAGGCTAAAAGTGTTGCTATAGTTCTTAAGATTTTAAACCGCCTTTTCTACCTCCTTACTTATAAATAGCTATTTTAAGGCTTAAAAACCAAGTTTACTTATTGCTTTTCGGCGTCCGCTGGGCTTAAAATTAACCTTAAGTTTATTCTTAAGGTCTTACAACTACTAGTAATATTCCTTAAGTAACTCTAGTAACTTATATATAGAAGGGAGCTGTAATCCTTATTTATTTATAAGCTATTAAAGCTTTTTAAAAACTTTTTTAATATTAGTAACTTTTTATTAGAGGCGTCTAATATCCCTCTTCGCGTACTTCGCGGCGACTAAGTACTAGAAGCAGAGCAACGCGACCTTAGCGGATATATTAACAACAGCTATTACGCTTACTGCTCCGGAAAGGCCATCTATAATACGGCGCGCGGTCCGAGGTGCAGCGGACATAGTAGTTCTGTAGAAGCTCCGGCATAGATTTGCAAGGCTGTAACACTGTTATATAGGTGTGAAATATATTGCCGTTTATCTTAAGCGCGGCGGGGCTAAAAAGGCTGCAGCGGCTAAAGGTTATATATTAGGTTAGTTTCGCTAGTTAAGAAAAAGGCCTGCTAAGCTACAGATTTATTAGCTATAGTATATAAATTACGCTAGAGGGCTTATATAAAACGTGCGCGGTAATAGCGGGCTGCAATATTAAGAACTGTAAGAGATTTGCACCCCTATTCTACTGCAGATAATTAAGTCTATAAGTATATTTTTTTAAGTTCCGGAGCCCTAGAAAGATAATTAAGAAAGCTAGTACTTTAAAAATCTAAAAATATTTAGCTAAGGCAAATTTACACTACTAGGTTTATCCGTGCAAAGTAGTCTATAAAGCGTTTTAGTAGAAGCACTTAGTATACTAATACAGGGTATTAGTTAATTACTATTAGTTTTATATTCTTTGCTATAGCGCTTTTCTAGAAGCGTCTATAAATAGTTATATACTAGCTATTATTAGAAGCTAGGCTGTGCGCGCTTATATTATACTAGCTATATCTATTATACCTTTCCTATTACTATAATTATTAATATAGACCGAGCTAGCTAGGTACTATTATAAAGCCTTCCTCTAGGTATATATAGAATATATACCGCTCTATTAAAAAGTAGTAATATTCCTATCTCCACGCTTTACTATTATAACCACGGATAACGCTTAAGAAAGGAACTGGCCTAAAGCTAGTAATACCTTACCCTAGAAGAAGAAAAAGCCCTTATTAAGTTTCTATTGCTAATATCTAAGCTCGGGCACCCGGTATAAGTTAAGTTTATGCGTGCGCTAGTATTTTATATTGCCTAAAATCGGTTTTTAAATAAACTAATTAAGCTCCTAGGAATAAACTAGCCGCGGCTTTTCTAGAAACGCTATCTAGAACTTAAAGCAAGGCGAATAAAGGCTATTAACTAGAAATAACATAATAGCTATATATATAATAAGGTTATAGAGTGGTTTAAAGTAGTTAGCTAAGTACTAGAAAATCTAGCTATTATACCAGAAAATTGCTATAATATAAATAAGACAGGAGTCCTGCTAAGTATACTTAGCTTTATTAGAGTTCTTATAGATAAGAACAATATATAAAACTATAGAGGCGCGGGTGTAAAGCGGATAATAGTAACTACTATTAAGTGTATTAGTGCTAATAGCAGATCGCTGCTACCTTTTATAATCTAGCTAGCTTTAACGCACTAAAGTAACTAGACTACCTTCCTAACCCCTAGATAGTATTATAGATATCCGAAAACGGATATAATAACTTAAAGATTAGTTTAGAGTGGCTTACGCGTGTTTTTAATTTTTAAACTAGAGTATTAGCTAATAGGAAACTATAAATACTTATATATAATAGCTTCGGGACCTATAAAACCCTAGAAATTTTAGAGTTTTGCTTTTAGAATAATATTATCCTATATTATCTCCCCTTTTATACCTTCTATAAGCTCTAACCCTATAATATTAGAGTCTTCGCTTTATTAAAAACAGCCTATCGCAACCAGGTTAAACAACTAAATTAAGGAGGTATAGATAAAATTAGTAAGAAGTATTTTACCTCTCTATATAAGCCTGCACAGAATAGAGTATTAACTAAAAGAAATATTATAGCTAGGTAGGCTATAACTAAGATATTTCTATTTAATCCAAAGAGGGTACTTAAAAGAATATAAAGGCCCCTAGCTAAACTTACTATTCTAAGGGCTAATAATAAGGCGCTAAAATCTAGTCTATAAAATAAAGTACGGTAAGTTTCTATAACGCCGGTAATGCTAGTAATAATAGAGGCTTTTATATTACTGCAAAATCTAATTAAACAGGATACTTATACGCTTAATAAGACGAGCTAATAGCTTCTATAAAGGTATATACAGAAAATAGCAAGTGCTGCTTAAATTTCCTTTACTAAATATACCCTTTTTCGGGATCTAAATCGATTTATATATAAAATAAATAATAAAGCAAAAGTTTACCAATTAACCTAGTTAATAGTACTAGGAAAGGCGAAAGTAATAAGTTATAACAACCTAAAGGCGGTATAAGCAAAGCGTAATATAAAAGATAAAGCTATTATAAGCAACGAAAAACGCGGCTATAAGCGTAAGGGTCCTCCGCTAGAAATAGAGGCAGAGGCAGGGGCAGAGGCAGAGGTAGAGGCAGATCTATTAGTTCTAAAGGATAAAGTAATATAGATAAGTAAAGTAGAGCCTACTTATATAAATATTATAGAAGTACTATAGAAAGTACTAGTAGTAAGGATGTATTAATATAGCTAGTAATACTATTTAACTAGCGTAAATTTATTTTACGCTAGGATTATTGCAGGTTATATTTTAAAATATAATAATATTAAGCAAATATTACTGCAAGATATATTAAAAGTAAAGTATAGCTATAGGCGTAACTAACCGCCTAGATAGCTACACGCCTAGCTTAATATATTACACGTTAATTATATTATAATAATTATATAAGATATATATTATAATTATACTAATAGGGGTGGCAATCTTATATATAATTGCGCGCTACAGCAAATATAAGGCTAATAGTAATATTCTGGAATTTTAGTAAGCTTCTATAGGTTAGATAACACTATTTATTTATATTATACGGTAGCAGAAGCTTAATAGTAGTATTATAGGGAAGGAACTCTATTTCGCTAGAAAAAAAGGCTTTATATAAATCGGCTGGGAGGCGATAATATATAACATATTTTTTAGTTAGAAGGGGTTATAGATATTAAGAAATAGCTATAGTATATAACCTATAAAAAGTTGTCGCGAATTTAAATAAATATATAGATTTTAAGTTGCTTAAAGTTAAAGTACCCCTTATATTTCTTAGCGCAGGGTGTTTCTTAACCTGCAGTAACGGACGTTAGTTAGTTAGATTATAACTTTATATATATAGGTATTTCCAGCTATATAGATTTAGTATGCGTGGTATATATAGTTATAAAGCTTAATAGGTGCGGGGTTATACACGTTAAGCTACGCGGTATATTAAGCTATATACCTTCTAGGGCCTAAGAAGTTATATATAAAAGATAGGGTGTAGGCGCTATATAGAGGGAGGAAGCTTAAGCTTATAGGCTTATAAGCCTACGGCTTTAAGAATTTTATAAAAACCTAGGAACTTGTTATTAAGTTTTTTATATAGGCGCTTAGTTTAAATATTCTTAAATAAAAGAAGAATAAGCTGCCCTTTTATAAAGTACTTTAGTAAGCGTGCGCAGTTATAGTACTTTTACTAAAGCTCCTAAGTATACTTAAGGTTTTTTATAGCCGCGTCGCGTGCGTTTTATATATAAAGGAGATGCGCGTTAGCTCTCTATATATTCTTAGAAGAGGGATTAGAAAATACGGTATTAATTTCTTTAGGAAGGTTACCCTGCCAGTCGGACTTAGGTACGCTGTTAGGGAAAATCGGTTGTACACCGTAGGCTAATTTAATAGGGGTGAACTTAGAGATAGAAAAGAACCCCTATATAATAATATAGGTTGAATTATAATTTTAGTATTTCTTTTAATAAATTATATATATTAGTATTTATAAACGCCGACGTAATAATAAATACTTAAGTTTAATATTATCTACTTTCTATTCTCTACTTTTTCTATACTCTACTCTCCACTCTCCCTGCATATACCTAGCGCCTTATCCGGCTGCGACTCTAGCAGCCTGTAAACTCTTCTCCCGGCGTTTAACTCCGCTGTTATCCGCGGATAGCTTAACAACCAGCCAGCCTCGAATAGTCGGTCCTAAAAGCGCAAGGCATCCCTATAAGCACCGCAACGTAAGCAACGTTAACCGCTCCAGCCTGCGCATAAGAATATAAGCTATTGCTTACCGCGGCGGCCGGATAAAGAATAATAGTTTAGGCAAGCTTATAAAAATAATATTTTATTAGATAAAGGTAATAAAGATAATATAACAACGCGACAACGCTAAAGCTAATAAGGTGCGGTCGACAGCCGACCTAGCCGCCGCTAGATCTAGCTATATTTCCCGCGCGCCGCCTTCTAGATAATATTGCCCTGTTTAGCTTAGTTAACCTTATATACTTCTTTTAACCTGCTTACTTTACTTTACCTGCTCCGCTGCGCTGCATAATATATAGTAGCTGAAATTCTTCCTTAATCTGCTATAATACGCGATTAAGCCCCGCTGCTATAATACTATATTTTGTCTGAACTTGCTCTATATTATTTTATTTTGCACAGTTTTACTGCGTTAAAACCCGCTCTTCCTTTTAGCTCGCCGTTTAGCTTACTACCCTCTGCAGGTAAAGCGCTAGTACCCCTAATTAAGCGCGCCTAAATTAAAGTCGGGGTTAAAGGTTAAAGGTTGCTTATACTCCTAAGCGCTCTTATATACCCTTATTAAAGGGACGCGCAGTTAAAGCTAAGTATCTAGCAGCTTTTAGCGTTAGATTAGCTCCTTACTAATATAAAAAGCGATTTACTAGTAGGTTATTAAAAGTCGCCTGGAACTTTAATAACGTAGGCGTTATATATTAGAATATTAGCGGAGGCGCTAAAAGTAGATAGGTCTTTAGGCGTATTTAAAAATATATTACCGGGCCTTTCTATTTTTAAAGGGAGATAGGGTGTTAGTAAGGTGCTGTTTACTAGGCTAGTAATAAATATCTAGGTAGAACTATAAAAAGTACTATAACGCCCTATAGTAATAAATTAGAAGCCTTAGCTTACTAAAAGCCTGTTAGAAAGCCTTATAGAAGTCGCGGAGCTCTACGCGGTTATTAGTATAAGTATAGCAGGTATAGCAGGCACCTTTACTATAGAACTGCTTAGATTAGCCTTTTAAATATTATTGCTTTATAGTATTAACCTTTAAATAATATAATAATTCCGCTCCTAGTTATACTAATAGCCTACTAATAATATTT